ATGGTTTTGAAGGACTATGTGTAGTGTATACTGGTATTGAGGGTATGGGTTTTGATGGTTTTGAAGGACTGTGAGTACCGTTGGACAGGGGCGGATCTAGGATTTAATTTTTGGGGGGTAATTATGAGATGGGAGGGGTAATTATAGGGTGTGGTCAAGCAAGCTTGTGCAGAACCATAAATGTTAGAGTAAATTGTTTAGATCCACCACTGGGGCTGGATAAACATTTTCACTCAAGTAGCTGATATGGAGATTTGGGAGGTTTGCAAACTAACAGAGTGTTTATAGATGTATGCAAATTTGGATATAATTTTATATAGATACTTCGATTCTTACGTCCTGCTGTAGCAAATAAAATTTCAGGTGCTAAGTCTATGTATATTTGTCTACCAAAAATGAGAGAATTTGTAGCAGTAAACGAATCGAAGCTCAAGAAGGAGCTCACTGCAGTTGGAGGGAAGACAGGAGCTTCGATTCCTTTCTTAAATGACACTGCAATATCTTGTAGTGTGACTACAATAAATGGCAAACAATGCAAATGTTGCCAAATACCTCATGCTTCCATAAGTCATGGAATATTGAAGAAATTTGTTAACCTAGGTAAGTCGCAAAGAAATAATTTGTTCACCTATAAGTGATTAGCAAAAATCAAAAACACTTGATTGAACACAAGTGTAGAAAAGTGTGAAAATTACTATCACAATTGTATTTCATTTGTGATAATATCAGAGTGAGAAGTAAGAGGTTGTCAATGAACCTCGCAGTGTTGAACAGAAAAATGGTTAACACATCAGTTCATGCACGCAACAATTAATATTACAAATGTATTTTATTTGTGTCACTATAGGTGAGAGAAACAAAGAGACTGCTAATGAATCAGAGACTACTAATGAATCAGAGACTGCTAGAGTATCTCAAAGTGTTGTTCAGGAAAACGGTTAACACAGCACATATATAGCAATTACTATTACAAATGTATTTCATTTGTGTCACTATATAGATGAGAGAAGCAAAGAGACTGCTAATGAATCAGAGACTGCTAATGAATCAGAGACTGCTAGAGTATCTCAGAGTGCTGTACAGGAAAACGGTTAGCACAGCACATAGCAATTGCTATTACAAATGTATTTCATTTGTGTCACTATATAGGTGAGAGAAGCAAAGAGACTGCTAATGAATCAGAGACTGCTAGAGTATCTCAGAGTGTTGTACAGGAAAACGGTTAGCATAGCACATAGCAATTGCTATTACAAATGTATTTGTGTCACTATATAGATGAGAGAAGCAAAGAGACTGCTAATGAATCAGAGACTGCTAATGAATCAGAGACTGCTAATGAATCAGAAACTGCTAATGAATCAGAGACTGCTAGAGTTTCTCAGAGTGTTGTACAGGAAAACGGTTAGCACAGCACATAGCAATTGCTATTACAAATGTATTTCATTTGTGTCACTATATAGGTGTGTTGTATATTTGCCTAGTCTCAAAACCAATAAAATAAAAACAATTACAAACAATAAGAAAATAGAGACAGACAGAAGGACATACACAATAAAAATAAAGAAGTAAGAGTAGGGATGAACAAAAGAAGAAGAATAACACACTGTATGAATAAAGAAAGAGAAAGAATAAGAGAGAATTTACAATCAATACAGAAAGAAACATACAATATAGAATCAAGCAATATGGAATCAAATAATAAGGAATGAATGAACAATGTAGCTCACGCTACCAATGAAACTGAAGTGAATTGTAGGAGAACGGAAGAGAGAGAACGAACGAGTGAAGACTACAACTGATTCTGAAGAATTAGATGATTGCAGGATTATTTATATGGAGGATGTGTGGTTATTAAATGTTATTATATTACAGTTAATTAAATAGACCAG